TAGAGCCATGCTGCAGCTATATTAATTATATAGTTGTAGCACGAATGGGCCGGCTCGACCGGGGAAGGACCACGCTCTCACAGAAGACCAGCGTGAAATAGTAGCTTAATGCTGCTGTATTTCGTATGGTGAGTGTAGAGAACCGGAGACCCTTTTTACTGGAAAAGAGGCATTCCATCTTAGTCCTCACGGGTGACAACGCAGCTGTATTTGGTTTTGTAATCGAGGATACATGTAGATGTCTATGGGCCGCAGCAACCACTTACCATCAGATGGACTGTGTGCTCGTTTGTCACCCTATTCTATAAAATAAAAAATTCGAAACTAAGAATGTTGTGGTCACAGTACAAATCCACGTCCGCAAAGACTTTAAACTGCTTGAAATAAAGTTCATTTTTCTTTATTTTTATTGAATGACAGAATTAGTAATAGTACAAATAAAACTGCACTCTTAAAAGTCTTATTGCCTTAAGTTACGGTCCAGTACAGATTTAGTGTGACTGTAATTCACGTAGTTTTAATTATTTTTGGGATAAAAAAATTACCTATATTAAAATAGGTAGATAGGAATTCTGTAAACGATTCTGTACAAACTACTTTCTCAAAGTGCGTTAATTACGTTACATATTGTATATATCGGTATTTCATTTATTATAGCAGGTATAAGACCCTAGCCCTAACGCACACAATTGAACAGGGGACATAGATGTTGTCTCGAGGTTACACTGGTGTATAAATGAAGGGACTGGGTTTAACTTTACCTGATATTCTTATAGTTGTAACTTATGTGTTGTATTATAAAATTTTATATTATAAGTGTAAGTTACAGCAGAAAAATATTTTAACAAATATTATAACTATAGAGATGTATAACGTGGCGTACTCATATACATATTATGACGATTACAACTTTTACAACTTTTTGAATCGTTATATCTTCAAAACGGTGGCTCGTAGGAAAAAAAAGTATTGATACATTTTTGGTAGCTAATTTTATGATCTATATTTTTATCTGAGGTATTTTTATGATAAACTTACTGTTTTGCTGAAAATCGTGAAACTCATTTTTTTGACCTTTGACCTTGATTAAATTTTTTTCCATACAGGGGAAAGATGGGGAACTTTCCAACTTTATTTATAATTATGTTTTAAACAATCTTACTGATTTTCAGCTTGGTGGAAATTTAGGTAGCTTTACTCTAATTTTTTTCGTCTAATTTGACCGGACTACATCGCAAATAAGAATAGTGAGTGATATACAAAATAGAAAGTGATAGTGCGTATGTGTCATAAGAAAGACAGAAATTATAATTTAGAGGCCCCATAAAACCCTTGAAACAAAATAAAACCTTCTTTGTGACGCGAAGTATGTGAAAAGAGTTAAGTTTTTAAACTAATTGCTAATTTCACCTGGTGGCAACAATTAGGTGTTGTTGAATGATGAATATTAATTGTTATGTTAATGTTGTTCAAAAGTGCTGCAGTGATGTTTAGCGGTCAGCCAACACAGTGTTTATTACGCGCATATAAGCAAATTAATTGTGAAAAACTTTTAATATAATGGATTTCCGCTAAGTAACGTCTGATTCTGTTAATTATCTTAATTATTGTACATGTACTGGCCTATGTAATTTGAAATATTAATAATATACTAAGACATTATATACTTTCCGAAAAAGTCATATAGTTATAGGCTCGCATCGTTCATATCAAATGGATTGTACATAATAATAATAACGTATTAGTTTGTGGTAGTGCGTCACTCATAGCGTAGGTAGGCGTAGGTGCGTCCTCAATCCCGCAGCAATCAGATTGAAGACGCGACGGTCATTTACAATCGGAATCGGATTTTTTAACTGTAACATTCACATTTTCGTAGCGAGCTGACGAACGGAACCGTCTGTGACAAAATAGAAAGTGATAAAGCTGAAGTTGTCGAGGTTGCTTGTTTGCTGCCAGAACAAGAAGAAAAGAAACATGACATTTGGATAGATGCCTTCACTTCATGGAGAATATCATAAGTACTTATTTTCGTATGGTCTCATGCCAATTTTACTAGGTACTCTTCTTGATATTCTGAGACCACTTTGACTGAAATGTAAATAAGGACCAACGGCGGTGTAGCAACTAAACGGCAAATCATCGGCTCGCATCGGAATGGTAATTCCTCCGAAAACTACGTCGGCATTACTGACGGAACGAAGCATGTGGGGCTAGAGTGCGTCCATAGGTGATAAATATCGAAAATGTGGTTCGTCTGCTGCGGATCAGAAAATAAAGGAAAAACTGAATCAGAAGATGGGCACCAGCATCTTTCCTGACAATAACTCAAAATTATAAAAACACTGCGATTACAAACCGCCTGCTAAGCATATCGACTATGGCAAAATCACTCTTAAGAGACAGTCTATGAGGCCTATATTCAGAAATGGACATTTATAGGCTTTAATGATATACACGGTAACTATAATTTGAGGGGTGGTTTGGAGAGGAGGACCTCAGTACGCCCTCCCCTGTATGTATTTATCTGAAGATATTACAAAGAGCTGGTGTACAAACGTGAATAGACCTCTATTGAAAAGTTACTGCTGAAACTGAACCAGGCCAATATGATTAGGGAAAAAGAAGAATCATTCCGCAGGCTCAAAAGAAATTTTATAAAAATATGTAGGCAACATATCGCTAATAATGGAGCTCATTTGGAACATTTACTTTAAATAAGCGTGTCAAAAATAATAAATAATATTTTAATGGTACATATTCGTGTGTTTTATTGGACTTTTCTATTCCTGTCCTTTCGTATAGTAAATTTTGTTACTCTACTAGCGTAGCTTACGCTTAACAAAATATACTTTTATAACAGTTTTTAAGTAGACTTTAAAATAAAGAAAATCTGCCGATTATTGGCACATGGATTATTTAAATACATTTTTCCAAATACATTCTTTTCGTGCCCCAGTATTTTTAATGTAGGTAATTTTTTATCCCAAAATAATTAAAACTACGTAAATTACAGTCACACTAAATCTGTACTGGACCGTAACTTAAGGCAATAAGACCACGGTAATATTATCTATACAGTATTGTAACTCGGCCGTATCTTTCAAATAAATGCCTACAGCCGTGCGGCACGTAAACATGCGATAGGGCTGCCTGCCTCCAGCATTTTTACATTTGCCTACTTTGTGTTTCCATTTAGTTTTATGATTGTAAATCATTGAAATAATATTTACTTACGTAACACAATAGCTCAATGTTGTAAATATACTTTTTATATAAACAAATAAAATAGTACTTTGTGAACTGAATAGGTAGTGTTCAATAAAAATGCGTGTCGTTTTTTGATTGGTAGATTTAATTAAAAAACCATATTTATGTTTGAATAACAAATCGGTCTTATAAATTTGCGACCGAAAAATATTTGCGCCTCGGCTGAGACTTACGAAATGCTTTATTATTAGATTTTTAAATATAAAAAAATACGCTTTCTAATATAAAGCTAAAAATAATATAAATTAAAAATTGTTTTGGGAAACATGGACAACGTGGAGAAAAGGAATATCTTTTAATTGGTTATAGATACCTGCAGCTACTTTACAATTTATATATTTGGTTTTAAATGAAGTTCAGATTTATTATTTCTTTATTTCTATTCTATTATTTATTTCCTCCATTTTTATATATTTCACAAAATCATCACTGCGGCACAGTCTCGACTGTCTGCATGCCGAGCGCATGCCGAGATCGAGGCGCGTAGGCATAGCTCTCGCTTCGTCCGTTTGTATGAAGTTGGAATACTGTATAGATAGTATTACCGTGATAAGACTTTTAAGAGTGCAGTTTTATTTGTATTATTACTAATTCTGTCATTCAATAAAAATAAAGAAAAATGAACTTTATTTCAAGCATGTTAAAGTCTTTGCGTTCGTGGATTTGTACTGTGACCACAACATTCTTCCGGAATTAGTATAACTAATTTGATAAATAACCAGTGCATAAAAATGTTTTACTAAAAATTCAGTGTATGTATTATGATTATAATATTAATATACTAATTGGGGTGTCTGAGGACAACCTCACAACAATATGTAACGTAATTAACGCACAAGCGTTAATTACGTTACATATTGTATATATATGTATATGTATATATATATATGTATAGTATATATATATATATATACATATATGTATGTATGTATATGGGTAAGGTTGTAAAAAAGTGTAAATAACGCACTGGAAGATATAACACACGATAACACAATAATGTACTTGAATAATATAAAGGTCATTATTCACTTGGAAATAGGTTCAAGTAAAATCCATTTTAAAATATTATCAATTAGGGGAGGTAGGGGAGGGATGGGCACTTTTTCACAATTTGATGCATAAAAAATCAGATTTTATAGATAATCAACATTTAATGCCTATTCTTATTGCACCACATATTTGGCTAGATATCTTAGAAAGAACTTTTTTAAAATTATGATCAGTCTCAACATTATAAGATAATTTCTGAAACTCAGTCAAAGTGCCCAATGCTTCCTATGGCAGGGAGGTTTGGACACACCCTGTGGGAGGCTTGGGCATGGCCTATAAAACACTTAATATCCAAATGTAAAACGAAACTTAATATCTGATACAATCCAAAAATAAAAGTTAACAACAATAAAAACATCTAAAATACATATCTTAGCTTATCTAAGATTAGGTTTATCAAATGTGTACTTAGAGCTACCACGTTTGGTTACATTGCATGTCTTTGGTAATGGCAATTTAGTTTTGATGTCATCTAGTAGGACACAAGCTATGTCATCTACTTCAGAAAAAAAAGGTGTTTCTTATCTTACTCAGCCGCATAAATTTTATTGTAGCCATTGTATGACTGATGTCTTCGATTTGGCCGACATAATGCACAACAGTCTTTTTTACATTAAATTTAACGAGCACATAATCATTCTTTTGAAAATTTCTGTCAACCATTATCACATCATCTTCATCTAACTCTTCTTCGGACGTGTCTTAAGCAAAGGAACATTTTCTATTTCGCTATCACTACTGCTCATTTGCCTCTTCTTTACTCTATTCGATGGAAGTTTAGGAATCTGTTTTTTCCCTGTGTTTTTGAGAACCTTTTTTTCCTGCCTCTCTGTCTTAGCCTTGTTCTTGCTTTGTTTTTCTTGTTCCGCTAATTCTATTAGTCTTTTTTCAGGTGTGTCTGTCAATATTCTTGTTTTTGCTTTCTTCCTTGCATTTTTAATCAGTTTTCTTGGGCAAACCTTTGGTTATGGTCTTACTATTTCAGGGGTTACAACTTCAGCGACTTCAATTGTTATTTGATCTGTAGCAAATGATGAGGAAGAATTAGCGACAGCAATGTTATTCAAATTAACAGGATCTGCTTCATTTTGATTTTCTCTTTCAGGCTGTTCTGGAATGGCTTGAGTTGAAGTTGGAGGATTATAGGGTCATATCTGGATGATAACGTTTCATCAGTTACGGGTGCATCGCGATCCGTGACAGAAGAGCAAAGAAAATCTTCATTCGAGAATATATTTGAATTGAAAGGCCATATCCCAGGTTTTTCAAATCCTTTTTGTATGTTTTGTGGTTTGAAAGTTAGAGGTATAGCAATGGCTGCTAGTTTGGGGATATCATAGATTGTTACAGCTTTTCCAGGATTGCTGACCATCCAATCTGTTAAAGCTTTATTGTAGTAATTTTTTAGTGGTCCATACACAGTACAGTCAAGTGGCTGTAGTTTGTGGCTACAGTGTGGTGGAAAGGTCATCAGAACTATGCCAATTTCTTTACAAAAGTCTAAGACTTCCACAGAAATATGGCTTTCATGATTATCTAGGAGCAACAACACTGGATTTTCAGGCGTCGGTTTTGCAAGTTTCGCAAAATGATGCATATATTTAACGAAGTTTGAAGATGTCATCCATCCAGACGGATGTGTTGAGCCATCTGACCCAATGGGGGCATCATGAAGCATGTATGGTTTAAAATTTACTCTTGGGAATATGAAATACGGAGGTATTGAGTTTCCAATAGCATTGATTTCCACAGCAAACTGTGACAAGTGAGCCTCTCTCTGCAGATGTTGCTTGTCCAACTTGTTTCGAGCCTTTTGAAGCAATAACTCTTTGTGTGCGCTGAACAGTTGTCAATCCTGTTTCATCTATGTTATATATAGCTTCAGGACCAAACTGATATCGCTCAAAGACTGTTTTTAAATTTTCAAAAAAATTATCAACATTTATTTTGTTAAAACTTATTGCACGTGACAATGATGTTGCTTCTGGTGTCCGTATTGATAAGTGAGATTGCCTATTTAAAAATCCCCTTATCCAGTCCTTAGATGCGATTTTGTTCTTGATCCAGTTATCAGGAATATTAGTTTTCTTTATGGCTACAGCATAGTCATAGGCCAATTTACGTGCTTGTATCTTTGTCAATCCATAATGATATTTAGAACAAACTATTATGTAATTTGATAATTTTTGTTCTTCTTCGTCGGTGAAAATTTGTGAGGTTATAAATCTATGCGAAGAATCCTTTATAGAATCTTGTTTAAGGTACCGTTGCATACTTGATCTAGGAATTTTATATTTATCAGCCGTTGTTTTTATTTTTGATCCTTTTGATATCTCTTCTATGGCTCGTAATATCACATCTTTAGGAATTTCCCGTCGCAGACCCTTATTTTTGAATTTAAATGGCATCTTTCTGTAATTAAATATAATTCATATAGTTTAATCAAAGCAGGTAATTAGAATTTTTAAAAATCCTGCCATACGAGACTTAAAGGAGGGAGCATTGGGCATGCCCAAACCTCCCTCACATCAAATCGAATGCCCATTACTCCCTCCGTATACATTTTCAACATAAGTGATCGGTATTTTTTTTATTAAGCTATTTAAGCATGAATTTCAGTTTTATTTATAGGTTCGTAAATAACAATAGATATACAATAGATATACAATGAAAAATAGACATACCTTTCGTTCGTTTTCTCTTTATCACAATCCGAAACCACAACAAAATATTTACTTTTACGAGCGCGTAACCTTCAAACGTGTCTGTGTTCAACTGACAGAAATGACAGATAATCTATGGATGAACAGTATTGCCAGTCGGTAAAGTAAACTATCAAAGTAGGGAAAAAATAAAATCTGTGACCGGACCAGAATAAAAGGGGGGGGGGTGCCCATGTTTCCCGACTGCCCGTCCCTCCCCTACCTCCCCTACTTATTTTTATTAAATTAAGATTAAATTATCAAAAACGAATCTTATACTATGAATAGACTATGAATAGCTTGCATGTTTTCGAAACTAAACACCAAAATAACACAACACAGTAGAATTAAAGCTTTTAACAAAGTAATGTGCTTACAAAAATTAGTACTGATACTGTAATTATTACCATTTATCACAGAATTTTGTTTTACTGTTTTTTTTTTTAATTATAAGGGCTATCCCATTTGACACTATTCGCGTTCGCACAGAGCCATATTTAAGAAGAAATTGAAATTTAAAAAGGGTTGCGTTTTTTTTAGTGTAATCAATAAGCGAACTATAATATAGTATTAATTTAATGAGTAATGATTTAAAAGAGAACTTTTTGTGTTTATCTAATAAACTCAGCATATAAATGTAATAAAGCCACATTAAAAAAGTGTTTTTAATAATAACTTATTTATATTTTGTTAATTAATAAAATTAAAAAAAATGCTTCTAATCATTTAAACATTTTTATAATATGGTCCTGTGCGAGTGGAAAAGGTGACGACCTCTTAATTAAAAATGGATCTAGTTCGGCTACTGAGGAGTGTTATACTATTCTGATTTATTATTACCACTAGTAATAATAAATCAGAATATTATAACACTCCACTCATATGTAGGTACGTCAGAATAAAATTACATCTTTTTCATTTCACCGTAGTCGGTTAAGTTATGTGAGCAGCCTCCTTTATAACATTCCAGTGTGTGACATACCAAACACCATAACACACGTAACGAACTGGAACAAACACACTCGAAAATTCAAAACTCAACAATGAATACCGGTCATAAATCATGCGCGATTTACTTAATAAAACTTGACATACACTGGTAATTGACTATAAATTTCGAATCAGGAACCTAACCTTATATAAATAGTCATAATTTTGCCCATTACTTTCGGTTTAACTCTTACGAGACGAAAAGTGTATTTTACCAGTAGTCGGCCGCGTACAAATGTAATTGCATGTCGGGGGGCCGACCAATGGGTCTACAAATCCAGTACTCAGCCGTCAGTCTTGTTGCATAAAATAGCGCCTTAAAGCCTTTTAGTTTGGGTTGAATTTATGCACGGTTATTTTAGCATGAATATCATTTGTTTTATAATTCCATAATGTCAAAAAGACCAATCCACCAATACAAAGAAGAGCAATTAATACAAGCTATGACTACGAAAAATAGTAAAAATAGGAAGAAAAATACGTGTACAATAAACAGAATAAGATGCAACAACTGTGAAGAAGAATTGACTAGCGATACAGAAATTAATGACTTAATATTGAATGTGACAATTGCCTTGAATGGTATCATTTGAACTGTACTGAATTCGCTGGGGAAATATATGAAAATATATACAATAAATATATTTATTTTCAAATCCTGCATGTCTGAGGAATAAGAAAAAAATATTTCGAAGACATGTGAAGTTCGCCAACACGCATTGGGGCAGCGTGGCGGACACTTTCTTGCCCTAAAACCCTCTCAGAAATGAGGGGAGGCCTGTGCCCAGCAGTGAGACTTATATAGGCTGTAACTTTACTTTTTACTTTTTATATATAATAAAGAATTTTTATGTCAAATATGCAAGAATAAGTGAAAGACTGACTACAGGGTAAAACATGGCTGACTTGTGGAGAAATGAGGCTGACTACTGGTGAAAAGTGCCATAATTTGTTTACTACTGATTTTTATATGATATTCTATTATAAATATATTTTTTGTTAATTTCTTTAGTAAATTTAATAAACAACTTTTCTAAAAATAATGATTGTTTTTGTTCATAGTGTTCAATATTTAAAATACAATTGAATCAAATTTTAGTCCTCACTAAAAGGCTGACTACTGGGTGTTTTACCCTATATTATGGGGATTCTGGATAATTTGTAATATGGAAGGGCGTCCTGATTGGTTTCCCTCCGTCTAGCAATATACGAATATTTGTATATCGACATATGGTAAATTTTCAAAGAAATGAGTTAAACACTATCTTTGAAATTGTTTAATGGACCAATATACGCTGTCATAATGTATAAAAATGCCTACAAGTGGTGGACGCTACAATTAATGCGAAATGAAACGACGTAGAATCAATATTGTGATGTACCTATATATATAAACAAGATCATAACTGACTCGTGAAATAGGCCTACTGGGAAAAACACGTTAAAAAAACGCGCTAAGTACACTACCTCATAGGTGGCGTGGAAACGTGTGAATATTATGACGTTTACAACTTTTAAAACTTTTTGAATAACAATATCCGAAACGGTGGCTCGTAAAAAAAGTATTGAAACATATTTTGTAGATAATTTAAACTTACCGTTTTGCTGAAAATCGCGAAAAACTCATTTTTTTGACCTTTGACGTTGATAAAAAAAATTTCATACAAGGGAAAGATAAGGAACTTTCAAATTTTATTTTTAATTATATTTTAAATAATCATACTGATTTTCAGCTTGGTGGGAATTTAGGAAGCTTCGAATGTCTAAATTGACCGGACTAATGGTCAGCCGTCCGTTTAGCAAACGAAAAATATCATTATAAAACTTCGCACTGTGCTATTAGTTAGCGCCTTTGATTCAGGTTGTGTATACTTATGTGTGTACAAATAAGGATGCAGCTAAAACATTCTTCTATTTTTCATTCTCAATATAGGGTAAATATACACTAGTTACTTCTTTCATGTCCATTTGCGAAAAGGCTTGCCCCAGCTTACAGTTACCGCAACATTTCGACGCTTTCTCTTTTTTTTTAATAAGATAGGGTGACAAACTAGCACACAGTCCACTTGATGGCAAGTGGTTGCTGTGGCCCATAGTCATCTACATCTATTCTCGATTACAAATCAAAATGAGGACTAAGATGGAGTCTCATAAAATGGTCTCCTCTCTACCTCACCCCAACTCTATCCTCTTCTACCTATACTACTAATGTAATTGCAGCATGGCTCTATCACGTTTACCACGTACCTACCGATTGTGCGGTTACACTAGCTGCATCCTTCTGGCAACCGTAAGGTGGGGATATCCATTGTGTGCTCAAGAGCTCTCAATATTACTACCACTTATAATTTAGAAATAATCTTTTTTTACAGATTCTAATTTTACACCATGAACCGACAGTAGCGTTTTTGAAGCAACATTTCGATTGTGGACCATACGGCTTCGTATGTGAAGGTACAACTAAATTAAGGCTTTGTGAGGGCAACAACTTATTAGGACCTGCTTTCAATTGTCCAGCAAATACTGTATGCAACGAGGACTCGAGTGATGTCTGCGAAAATACAATAAACTATATTGATCCTGCAATACGTCGCACGATACGGTGTCATCGTAATGAAAGAATTGCTGATCCAAGTGTCGCCGATTGCAAAGGATATATTCTTTGTATACCTAACAAAAACCGATTTCAAGGTATCAAGTTTAAATGCTCTGGAACAACTATTTTTAATGGCTATACTCGGACTTGCTCTTCTCCCGATACATACAAATGTCCATTAACGAATATTACGAAAACAATCACCTTATCCCACCAGGATAATCGCAGAATGGACTCAAATACTATAAATAATAACTTTGATAATTTAGATATGAATTCGCACTGGGGCAGACCTATAGACTGCAAAAATTACAAATTTGCGGTAACACAGGATAAAAGTCCTGTTCGCGCTAAATATTTTTGTCCGACACGTCCCGTCAGAGGAGAGTCCGCTATTCGATGTACAATTTTCTCCAACCAGTTCTGCATAACATTAGAGAGAGACGACGAAGACTCTTTTATTCGACCGTCAGGTGCAGCTTATCGAAAACCAAGGGTTTTTGTAGTAAACAAATAAACACATAATTAGAAATGTATAATTATATTTACTTTAAATAAGACTGAACATGCCTTTTAACTTAGAAACTTAAAAAGAGAATGTTAATATACTTGCTACTTGTAAGTTTTACTAAATTTAATAAACTAAATTGTGACTTATTCATTTTATTTCACTTAACACTATTTTATTGTTCATTATCCATGCAAATTCTGGCAACTGGTCATCAAATTTATGTTTATTAACATTCATGGCTATCTTGATCGACACATTTATTTTTATCTTTGTCGAATACCTCGTCTGAATCACAGCTTTTTCTTTTACGACGTAGAATTGATTTAGAAGTTTTATTACAAACATAATATCTTCTACAGTTGCTTGGATCTGAAAACTTTCCTTCTTTTTCACATTTAAAGCTTTCATTATTTACAAAAAAGTACTTATCAGTTCTCTTCTTTGTAATAGTTTTACTTATCTTTTTATTATCTTCAACGTATAATGATGATGACAATGTTGGGTATGATAATTTAATAATTTCTTTAACTTTTTTACAAGTCAAACTAATTTTATCAAGTCGATAACCGTTTTGACACTGGAATTTAAATCTTATGAACCTGTGATCTGTACCTTTAACACAGATATAATAAATATTATGTTCCCACACATCATCGAATCTGCCTTCACTAACACATTGAAATAGATTTTTTCTAACGCAGTGTGATAAATTCCTTGTACATTGTTTTTGGAACTCACTAAATACTGTGTCCATTGGACATAGTCCAGGAATAGGTACAACAATGCCTATGCAAATATAGAACTTCCTGCAATTACCTTCATCTGCATATCTACCTCGTGAGCGGTTTCGACAATTAAAATTTAATATGGGTTTATTAATTTTTGAGCTGTTGCCCAATTTGACGTTTTCTAAAGTATTGGGCAACAACTGCTTATGAGTTCGAGATGTTTTTATCGAAGTGATAGTTTTTCTACTTTTAAAAAAAATCACAAGATCACTATTTAAAATCTTGTCACTTTTAGATACGTTATTATTTACACTATAGGAAAAGTTTCTATCATCGCTGATTTTATGTTCTTTACTTTGTATTTTTGTACTTACATTATTAAAATTACCTTCAGATGTTAAATTAGTTTTATAGCTATAAACAAAAGGCTTAACCGCAAAATAGCTTTTATCAATAGTTTTTATTTGTTGTTTACCTTTTGGTACTAGCTCAGTTGTGTTATATTCATCATGTAAGTTATTTCTTTTATAAACGGTGGTCAAAAGTTTATTGGTAGTACCAACGCCGTCTTTAGTAGATTTATAATTTGCTTCAGTTGCTGTTAGTTTATTTTCCAAACTCATATTTGATATTGTATCGTTGAAACAGTATTGTTTCAATGTTTTGTTTGATAGTGTGTTGGTTGTTTTATTGCTATCTACAAGGACATCATCATATTGTGATAACGTGGAAAGTTTTTTTGATTTTAACTGACTATTCACGCCAGTTAACGCGTCAATACTTACGGCTGGAGTAACTTCTGTGTATTTTATGAAAAAACTTTTTTCAGTGTTAGGCAGGGAGGTAGTTACTTCTGAAAAATAAGTTGTTTGAAAAATTTGCTGTCGTCTTAAAATATTATTTTCTGTATCTTGTTTCTTAACGCTTGTTACAGATTCATCTAATTGGGTCGAATTATATTCACCGACGCTTAGTAATGTTATATTTCTTTTATTTTTGTCATTATCCGGCATTTTTGATAATTTATTAACAAATAAACTTAGTGTAACTTGACTTGATAATGCAGAATTATTTACTACTAACGGTTTTGACAAATTCGTAATTTCAAATGGTTTTACAGTTATTGACATACTTGGGACTTTTTTATCTATAATTGTGAAGGTATTTGTCAAAAAGTCACTTTCTGTTTCTTGATTGTCTCTAACGTTCATGAATGAATCTTGCCTTCTGTTATCTAAAGTTGATTTTTTTGAGGTTTGTAAAAAAGAAGGGTCTGGTTTTGAGGAAGTTATGACGTTTTTATGATTTTCTTGTAGAATATTTTTGTTCTTTAAGTTATTAGTATAAATCATATGGTTTGAAGTATTACCATTATACATAGTTTTAATTACATCGTTAAGTCCACCTTTCACTTTGTAAGTTTCAGTTTTCATAGATTTTTCCTTTGTAACAAATGTTATTGGATCATTATTTACACCATTATTATCTATTTCCTGCACTCTTGGAAAAACTATTCCTACAGTAACAGTGTTACTTAGCATATCAGAAGTAGTTGTGACTTCAGATAAGTTAGATAAGTTAATGGCTTGTTCAGTACTAGCAAATGCATTGTTTTTTAACCCTACAGGTAAGTAGGGGGTTTCGTATATTGATACATTTATCCGATCGCCATTACTTAAGCTGTAATTTTCCGGTTTTGTTACAATATCGTTCTTAAAAGTCTCATAAAAACTTGTTTTGATTGGTGAAATTATTGTGTTAGATATTGTTGAAAGTTCTGAAATAGGTTCATTATCTGATAATTTAATAGTTGTGTTATTTGATTGTGTAGCAAAAATATTTTCCGGCGTCTTGGATAATACATGGGATTCACCAATACTGTTTAATTTATAATTTATGTCTGCATATCTTACATTTTCCGTTACTTCGAATAATAATTCTTTTATATGATGGGGTTTCAATATTTTCTTTGTATTTATATTAACTAATTTTTCAACATTAGTGTTAATCATATTCATTGGAGTAGTAAATTCACTTTTGTTAAATACTCTCAAATCCATTTCTATTTTGTATGGGTTTGTTACTTGTGTATTTTCACGAATTTGGTTTTTCATGGTCATAAAGTCACCCCCAGGAACAGATAGTGTAGTAGTATTATTTATCCTACTGTTATTTGACACATACATTCCGGAGGAAAATGTTTCTGCAATAATAGTATCGCTTAACATATCCGACGTGGTGGTGACTTCAGATTTAATGTTTAAATCAATTGATGGTTCAGTAATTCTAAATGTATTATTCTGAGATTGTGCATATACGTCGAAATTCAAAGTACGTAATTGGATGTTGTTTACAAGTTTGTTATCAGTAGCAGTTTCGTATGCTGATTCGTTTTTTCGAGCATTATTGCTATCACTGTCGTTAACTGGTAATTTTACGACTCCATTCTTCACAGTGGTAAACATACTTGTGTTAGACAAAATTGTATTCCCTATATATTCACCTAAATCCATTTTTGTAACTATTGGATCAGATATTATGTCATGCTCTAAATTTAGCTTATTAGCTGTTGTTCTATTTTCAAAAGCTATGTTATCTCTTGGTGTAGTAATAATATTTTCCAAATTCGTAAATAAATCTATTATCTTGTCACTTTGTACATCACCAACAGCACTGGGATCAGAATTTAATTTTAGGTGGCTTATATTTGCCGTTCCGTTAAATAAAAACTCTTTCGTACGATTGTTTATATTTTTTTTCATAGAATATAAATTTGAAGCATCAGAATCGTTAACTTGAGCGTTAGTCATATTATACTGGGCGATTGGAAATATACTTTCAGTTTGTTCTAATTTTATTTCTATACTGTATAAATCAGAAACACTATAGTTTTGAAGATTTCCTAGGGATACGTTTTTTAACTTTATATCATCAGTAGTCGCCAAATCGTCAGATATTTTTACATGTGTAGTTTGAATTTCGTTTATATCGGAAAATCCACTTTGCACTTTAAATGCGTCACTGTCCAGTTCATTGGGAACTAATTTTGTAACACTATTATTTACACCGCTAATGTATACTTGGTATGACTTTGAAGAAATAGTTTCCGTAGTATCCGTTAATGTATTTGTGTCTGCGAATACTTTCGTTACGTCAGATTCGGTCTTTTGGGTGGTCAATGCTTGATATTCGCATTCAAAATGGTTTGTTTCATGACAAAATGTCGTAGGTGGGCATTGTATAACAAAACTGTCAATTGTCGTAGATACTCCCCCTCCCAAGTCTACGCATATCAAGAAATGGGTTGAATTCACACAATGAAATGATTTATTATTGCAATTGATATTCTTTGCTTCAATCAAAGGAGGACATAACAGCAGCTGGAACAAAAATGCATTGTTTCTACCGAATAAACTTAACATTTACACAAGTAACAGCCTTATCCGTATCGATATCCTTCTTCCCTATCTGGTGAAAATCTTAAGAGCAAGTTTTGCATGGGTATATATTCCAGAACTATGGAGAATTGTCAAAGTTCTATTTATACCTAAGGGCGGTAGAAAGGACTACGCTATACGAAAATCCTTTAGACCTATAAGCCTATCTTCCTTTCTTTTTTAAGGCATTGGAAAAGGTCATAGATAAATATATAAGGGATGTAGCTCTAGCTACGAGGCCCACACATTACAGCGAGCATGCTTATCGCAGAAGCAAATCTACGGAAACAGCCGTGATCAGTGTACCTGACAGGGTCGAAAATTCTCTAGAGTATATAGAAATAGCTCTTTGTGTCTTTCTAGATACTGAGGTCACTTTTGATAGTAGCCCCACATCACTGCTGATTGGGGGCCTGACATCTAAAAACGTTGACCCCACAACCATCAGATGGGTGAAGTCGATGCTCTCAAACAGAAAGGCAAAAATAGAGCTGTTTCAAACTACGACTGAGTTTGCAACTACAAGAGACTGCCCACAAGGAGGTTTTTTGTCACCCCTTCTTTGGACTCTCGACTCATGACAAAACTACTTTACATACTGGGTTATGCTGATGACCTTGTGATTATTGCGAGGGGCTTTTGCCAAAGTATTTTATCGTCAATCATACAAAGAGCCCTAAACACCATAAATAACTGGTGTAGGGATAACAGTTTATCAGTTAATGCTGATAAAACGGTTATAATACCTTTTACCAAAAAAGAGACGGTTGGACAAATTAGCCACACCAAAACTCAACAGTAAAGAAGTACCATTATCCACTGAAGTTAAGTACTTGGGCGTAATGATAGACCTAAAACTAACGTGGAACTCTCACCTTAGCAACGTATGCCATAAGGCAAAAATTGCTTTAGGTACGTGCAGTCGTTCGGTCGGGACCAACTGGGGCATGCATCCCAGCATGGTCCTATGGCTGTACAGCAGCATAGTGAGGTCGATTGTCACCTACGCCTCCACTGTCTGGAGCAACAAGACCAACCAAAAGACGACTGCAGACAGACTAAATAGTCTACAAAGGACTGCCTGCTTAATGGCAACTGGAGCTATTCGATCATCACCTGGAACGGTTCTTAATGCACTTCTATGCCTAACGCCCCTTGACTTTATCTATACAAGGAGGAGGAGGCTAGTTAGTACAGGATTAACTCCCAGGGTGGTCTGAGCTTGCTCTCCTACAGATTGAGATCCATGCTCGACTCAATTAAGGAAACGCCGGTCTTATGTATGACCTCAGTTATCATGCCTCCACTATACACTTTTGATAAAAGGTATATAAAACTTAATATGAATTTGGGTAGATTCACCTCTATCTTCCAGGCAGAAATTTCCGCCATACTTCAGTGTGCGGAAATCAATCTACAAAAACACTACGTCAACCTTATAATTTATATAAACTCTGATAGTCAAGCGGCACTGCTAGCACTTAAACTCGAACTGAAAACTCGAAGCTAGTTGGAGACAGCGTGAACCGTTTAAACGCCCTGGGATGTAACAACAGGGTCGTCCTAAGATGGGCTTCGTATCACGTGGGTATTTTCGGCAACGAATTTGCCGACAAACTTGCACGGGAAGGCTCAAAGAGTACACGATTTGAACCTAAGCCAATCTCAAGAAGCATAGCCCGATTGACCCTTGAAACTCTTTTATCTGAGTCTCTTTATCTTTACTTAAGATCTGGTCTGGCACACCAGGCTTAAAACATTCTAAAACTTTAATCCGGGTTTTCGAGTGTAAATTCGCTTCAGAAACCCCGGGATTAAGAAAAAATAAATTGTGCATTATGGCAAGAGCTCTAACTGGACATTGTTGTCTTAAAAAGTACATGTCCATTCTGGGACTAAGCAACTCAAGGATGTGTCGGTTCTGTTCCATAACGGAAGAAATGCCTCTGCACATCCTAACTGATTGCATCTGGGAAACTATGTACTCCGCCCAGAAGAAGTGAAATTGCTCACGGCTAAGCAACTCCTTCTATTCATTGAAGACATAGGGCTTAGCAATGAACTATAGCCATAGCAGCGATCACAATAGATCTTTTAGATCGCAGTGATACTGTTCTCTTTACCTAGACGTGCATAGCTGCTCGCACATAATAAAAAAAAAACAACAGCCTATTAACGTCCTAGAACAAATACAGCTCCTCTTTTTTGAGAGAATATGGAGCTGGCTGAATTTGCCACAACGTTTCAGTGTGTATTTATGAATTTTCCACATCTTCGATTTTTTTTTATTTGGTTGGGTATATTGGTATTATTTATTTGTAAATATCGCCACTGTGGTTAACAAATCAGTCATTAAAACCGCCGCTCGTGTTTCACTACGTAATATCTATCACTTTAATTACTTCCGTCGTCAATCACGCACCTCTTAAAATTTTAGTTAAAACAAATTCAACAGTGTATGCTGGTGTATGCACTGAGAGTTGTGTACATTATGAAAGTAAAAGGTGCACCCAGCCCCAGTATTTTACATTTATTCTTAATACTATTACAGTGTTGTACTAAAAATATACGTACCGGTGTTAAAAATAATAATATATTATCCATGTTTTTTTCTCTTGAATAAAGCCATAGCCTCATTTCTAAACAATGTTATCTTTGGTTTAGGTCCTTTTGTATTTTGTTACAGTTGTCCCATATCTAGTTTAGTTTTCAGTAGAATGGCATGTTTCCGTTGATCTTAGATAATTTCAACTGCCACATAAGAGAGTTGTTATCACAATAACATCTTATTTACATAACACACTGTTGTAAGATTAGGACGACATTGTAGAAATATTGTTGACATCATAACTCTTTCAGTCTCGTTTATTTTCCCCGTAAATATTCAAACACAGAACATCCACAATGTTTTTGATAATATAAATTTTATATTATTATCACATAAAAATGTTTTCATCGTATGTTAAGATCATCACGTTTATTTATATTGGATAAATTCTAAATTTAACCTAACGGTTCATACCTGCCATAAGCCATATTTAGATAGCTATAATAATTGCTCATGTGATAAAATCACTAGGACTAGTACCATCAAATATCTTGGTGTAACTATTAATCAGCACCTTACCTGGAGTCACATTGAAAACATTGCTAACAGGATAAGGAAACTAACATGGGTAAAAAACTCAAATGTGTTGCAAATGAAACAACTCTTATCACCACCTACAAAGCTGTGGCGCAATCGGTAATGAGTTATTGCATACCTGTTTGGGGTGGTGCAGCAAAAACACACCTAATAGGACTAGAAAGGGCTCAAAGAGCTCTAATTAAGGTGATGTTCTTGAAACCGTTTCGATTTTCAACTTTTGAACTACATAAGTCTTACAAATTGCTTACTACTCGCCAGATGTATATATTGAATTGCATTTTAAAAAAGCATCGACATTTACCTTTTATACGACATCAGACACCAAAACGTAGGAGTACCAAAATTTTCAATATACTACAAAATAAAACAAAGTTTAAGCAAAAGCAGTACGTATTCCAATCTATATCTATTTACAACTAATTCAACAGCAGATTGAATATATACCCCTTGACGTGGACTAAAGTTAAACGTAGTGACACAATTTTTATTAACACTAAACTACGAGGAAACTGAACAATTTATTACATAACTTTTATACTTCGAACAGCCACACCAATTGTTAAAGCACTACCACACAACCACAAAAAAACACACATACACACACACACACACACACACACACCCACACACACACACACACACACACACACACACACACACACACAAACGCGTGCATGCTTTGCATACATGCTTATCATGTAATTACTATTATATTCCAAAATTCATTTACTTCCTAATGCTAGATCTTGCCTTGATTTTTGTTATTTATTGATTAACGTTGTATTGTCTTGGTGGATGAGCGGGGTACCCAGTAATACAGGTTCCCAACCTAGTACAGGGGCCCTTGCGACTGGTTTAAAATGTATAATTGTAAATCAATAAATCATTTTTCATTTTCATAAATTTAAAAGTATATCGTAATTCTTTAAAAGGCTTTAATAAAGATTTCTTCCTTGACTTCCTTTGCGTCCACCGTCATCATCATTCATGCAATATCATTGTCTACACATATTTTGGATTAGACCATCGTTTTTTCGACCTTTAATTCAACCTGCTTGGGAATTTTTTTAACGTAGAGCTAATAAAGTTACAGCCTGTATACTTCGCACTGTATATTCGACCTAGGGCACAGGAATAGGACGTACATGCATAGTGGCCGTCCATTAATCACGTGAGGCTTGAAAGGGGGTGAGAAACAAAACCGATGCTGATCTTCAACAAAGCACAGAGCCAACAACTGACTTGCAAGATGTTTATCCAGTTGTTAGTGTTGAAGAAAGTCTTGCTAATCCGTGGTCCGAGGACAATGTACAATAAATATGTTCATGTACTAGTACAATATATGTTTTTCGCATGATTACACCATTCCTTTAATATTATTTTTATGCCAGTCAAAAACAATATGCAACCTTTCTGTCTAGACATTTTTATCATGGTTCATAATTTCAGAATAATACTTGATTATACTTTATAGGTACTAAAAATACACATAATTTTGGGTCGGGAGGGGAGGGGGGTTAGTCTTAAACCTCACCACGTATCACCAAGAGGGAGAGGGGGTGTTAAAATGCTAAAAAACATCACGTGATTAATGGACGGCTCCATACAGAATATATAGGCTGTGAACCTCCACTCATTTCTAAATGAGTTTATTACATATTTATTTATTAATATATAATATAATATTTGAAATTTAGGTTGTCGTTGTTTTAATTGAAAAAATAAAAAACAAAAATGTGGTGTTTTAAACATTCTATTTTATAAATTAATTATTACTACAAAATAAAATAGTCACTGTCATATTCAAATATATCACAACTTGCAAAAGCGACAACTTTTTTTCTAAAATTAATACATTTTATATCTAACCACTATTTTAGTAAGTAAAAGTATTTAAATGAAAAGTAGTAAAATATTTTCTTTAAATTTAAACATAATCAAGTTCAGTCCATATTTGCGTCTTACTTTACGCGACCATAATATTCTTATGTATTTTTAAATAAAAATATCTGAACAGCTTTGGAATGATCAAACAACTTTTTATGGGGCAGTTAAAATTTCATATTAAATGTGTTGTTATACATTATTTTCTGTTATAACAACCAAGGACGGCCTGAGCTAAAGTATCCAAAATTAGTTTTGTACAACGCTATAGCTGCTAGAATAAACCATACAATCGTGATAACTGACATAATAATGCCTATTATAAACATTGAATAATTGAAACCACCCTCCTGACCCATAACGAATGATAAACCTGTTACGAAAAGGGCTAACAATGATGCAGATAGCGTTTCAAGTGTACTGTGAACTTTCGGCCATTTTCTTGCTCCTAGAAAATCTTGAATAGCAGTATCGCAACATGAAGTAATAGCGCCATACCCAAGCCCAGATATCACACAACCAATTGTTAACGTATCATGATTATTGGTTGCTGCAAAAACTGAAAAAATATTTAATCGTCAATGTTAAGGTCTAGTAATGTAAATCGGATGCAAATAACGAAAGATTAAACCTACCGAAACATGCAGTAGTTGTTACTATTAATCCAATTACGGTGACATACTTGAAATTTCTTTTAGGTGTTTGTGCCAACCATGGACTGCTCGATAGAAAACATATCCATGTAAATCCGTGTAACGACAATAAAAAATTTGCCTCAAACATGGAAATCTTTGGCCTCACTTGCTGCGCTATCATTGGAATTAACATCAGAGACACCGCGGTCAAACAAAGTTTAGAAAAACTAAGTAATAGTGCCGGATAAAATCTCCAACATGAAAGTGACCTCGTCAACGGTTTTGTAAAAGTGTCATTAATACTATATATCACATATAATAGTCTTCGTCGAACTCTATACATTCTATACGACGGTATCCAAATTCGCCTTTTTATATTTATAATAGTAGACTGGCATCGAAAACTGAACGAATTCAATAGTTTTTCCCTATGAATATCTGTTATCGGTGATATGTTATCGTAAGTCACTTCTAGTTCAGAATATTCTTTACCGTCATGAACGCTGCAATCATCTTCAGAATCTCTTTTAGTTTGCTTTGCAATGTAATCGTCTAAATTGTCACCTAATGTGTTCAGTCTTTTGATTGCAATACTTAGACGTCTTTGACTATTTGGCATTTCCTTGCCAGGAATTCTTTGTTCGATATCTTCTTCGCTCTCTTCGCTTTCCTCTGGTATATCCGGTAAAATATCTACCCCGAAAATATTTCTTCTTCTTTCTTCAGGACTAGGTGGAGGTGTTATTGTTCCAACTAGTTCAGCCTTACCCCCAACCTCAACACCCTCTCGATGTAAATTATCGTCTGATGGACTTTTCCAACACTTTTTACTTAAATCGTGTAATTGTAATTCTGCAGTATAATAGTTATCAATACCGTCATTATGAAATCCTGTAAAACTTTGGTACAAGTCTGCGTGCCTGGAGGAGGAAGAAGATTTTCTAATATTTTCATCGATTTTAAGTAAGAAGACAGCTGGCATCGCTTGAAGCATTATTCCACCAAGAACAATAAACGAAAATGAGTATCCATAATAACTTGTTAGAGCTGACATAATATGAGGAAATAAAGATTGTCCAACTGCTTGACCAGTGCAACATATTCCTCGAATTATACCTATACGACTGTCATAAGTTTCGAAGATGACAGCGTCCACTTGGGCTGATATTAAAGATGATCCCAAACCTAAAAATAAGTTATGCTCTTTTCAAATTTACGGAGAACATTGATGACTACAATTCGTTATATAATGAATCAATTAAACCTTTACTTACCACCTAAAACACCATAAATGAGTGGATGTAAATATAATGGTATAAAGGCACAAATGACCAAGCTAACCACAACCACCGTAAGTCCAATGGCAGCCATTACACGATATCCGACTGATCCGCCCCATGAGTCTGCCGCCTCGCGGAACCAGCATTCTGTAAAATTTTAAATTAACACTAAGAAGATAGTAATTTCTAAAAATCACGTAATTTTTGTGTTGCTCATACTTATCGAATATTGTGATTTAGGTTAAACATTGCCACTTTTTCGCCTTTGCGATTATCCCACATTAACGGGAGACTATATAATTAATGGAGTTAGTGAATTTGTTACCTCTGATTTTATTAAATATTTTGGAAATTATAATAAAAACTACGTTTTAACTTTCATACAAAATAATTAATTATTCTTATTTTAGTTTATTCATGAATGATCTATTAAATTTATTTTATTAATTATTTTATATTGATTATAATTTTATTTTTAAATATTTTTTTATTTAATATTAATTATATTTTATGACATATTTTATATTGTTTGATGTATTAGTACAATAAAAATACTTATAAAAAATATGTTTTATTTCATCAGTTATGCTAACTTCTATTCACCTGATAAAAAATATTCTTTTTCTAAAATAAAAACAATTAACTGCAGCTAAAAAAACTCCTTTTTATTGCGTATTTTGGGTTAAATTTCATATAGTAAGCCATACCAACCCGCCATTGCATGTTTGGTGTGTCTATCTTTATCTAATCTTAGTGACGGCATTGTTTTCGCTACTTGTGTAAGTGAGACAGATATATGTTTATTTAAAATGTGTAGCTCTAACTTCAAAGCTACGTCATGTTACACAGTTACACTTTTTTCGACGCGCGGTAATGTGGTTTGCCCCCCGGACTAAGCCCCCGGGACTTGCTTCTAATTTTGTAAAGCGAACGGGACCCGGGGTTCATTGTGTACGCTGATTACATTGATTATTTAGCCGATTTATATGGCCTACAAATAATAATTGTTCCGGCTCTGGATGTTTGTCCTTGTGCAATTTACGTAAGTAAGCTGCCTCCACGATACAGGAGAAAATCTTTGTGGGGGAGGTGGAACGTGTTATAATAAAATAAAAAATAAGAAAATATTCTTAACTGATTTTTTTAGACAAAAATTTGGCAAACGAGCACACAATCCGACGTTAAGTGAATGTTGTGGCCCATATTCATCTACTGAGCAAAACTTATAAAAAAATATTACATTAACACATTATACATCTAAATATGTTTACTACATTTTAAAGGCTTACGGCAGAAAAACAACATTTTAGTGCAACAAATGTATATACTATTCTTTGCAACGTCAGATTTTATTTCATACAAGCATCCTTGCTTAAATAAAAAATCACAAATCAATCAACAAAATTGTGGCATTCCTTGGGGGGAGGCTTATGTTCAACAGTGGACTTGTGATAGGATGTAATGATGATGATGATGAAGGGATAACAAACGAGAAACATAATACAAATACGTTGATATGCGTGAGGACTAAGATGGAATACCTCGTTACTAGCAAAAAAGGCCTCACCATACGGAACACAGCAGCATTACGCTATTTCACGCTGGTATTCTGTGAAATCATGGTCCTTCCCTAATCGAATCGACTTATTCTTTCTGCACCCATTATGTGCTGCAGCGTGACTCTCCTACATGTTCACTGAATAGAGATATGACACATATTTACGGATTTAACTGGGATTTGATCCCAAGACTAAGTACCTATTAATGCCTAAATACTTAGTCTTTAGCACGAAGGCCATAAAGATTAAATCAACAATAATCAAAAAAAATTCTATAACTGCTATTTTATTTTACTTTTGTTAGGTAAGTAAACCGGACAAAATTATTTTCTCTTATATTTTCATATCACCAATAGCTAATGCAACGGAAAAACATGTTTTAACTGTGAATGATACGAACGCTTTACACAATCGATTACTTATTATATTTTAGAGTTTAGACGATAGATTTTAGATATGTGTCATAAGTAAAGTAAAAGTAAAGTTACAGCCTTTATACGTCCCACTGCTTGGCAAAGGCCTCTCCCCATTTGAGAGAGGGTTTTAGGGCAAGGAAGTGTCCGCCGCGCTGCCCCAATGCGTGTTGGCGGACTTCACATGTCTTCGAAATATTTTTTTCTTATTCCTCGGACATGCAGCTTTCCTCACGATGGTAAATCAGCACTTAAAATTGCAATTAACAATTTCATCGGTGCCGGCGGGGATCGAACCCGGGTTACTCGTGTTCTGTTATTATTACAACGAGCGTTAACCATCTGAGCTACCACTAGGCTTGCCAACCATAATTTGTAATAACGTATCCTACTTTATTTTTGGTAATTATACTTTATACTTTTACATACAAATAAAGTATGCAAAAATACTTTATTTTCAACCTTTACTGTGATGCGTAAAACATACTCATCATGGGTACTTAACGATTTATAATTGCTGAACGAAATGTTACCTATCTTTCCGATTCACGCCAATAGCGCCAACAGTGATTACGCTCGCGACCATGGGCAGCGTTAGCGTTGTCATCAGCGCGCTTACGGTTGATTCGGAACGGATTATTGGCGCTGACAGCGCTGTTGGCGTGAATCGGAAAGGCCTATTAGATGTCAGTTGTGACGTTTGTCACAGATGTCTCTCACTATCGACGAAATTGTACAAAACTGGTCCTTTAGTTTTGTTTATAAGCGAAGAATGCATTTTAAAGTAAATATTAATGCTGAAAATGACGAGTAATTCTGATAGCACACACACCAGTGACTCCTAAAAAATCTAAAATAACTAAAAAAATAATTTATTTAAATTTAAACGTTGATTGTCAAACAAGCTTTGTAACATTTAAAGACAACAAAAAATTGTTAGCATGTGCTAAAAGCACACAAAATACGTGTTTAAAGCAATAAAAACATAAAATTTGAAAAATACTTTTTTTCTTCCTAATACTTTATTTTTTCCTATCCAAACCACTTTATACGTTTTTTTTGTCAAATAAAGTTGGCAACCCTAGCTACCACGGCTCTGTGTCATAAATAGGCCAATGGAATGAACAGAAGGAGAATTAAGCGAATCAACAGCAGCAAACACAACGGAGTAGAAGATTACGCAGGACAGTGGAACAGTGGATCCTAGCTAATGCCACGCAAGAACGCACTGGTACGAAGAAGTTTATTTAATAAAGGGTTAGACTGTATAAATGAATGGGAATGACTTTATTCAACGTTAAGTCGCGCGATATACGTTAAGTGCATATGTAAAATATATGTTATTGCTCTAATTTTCTTTCATTTTTATAGTTTACTAGTCAATCAACTTAGCTAACTCCGCAGTTATGTTGAGATTAAAAAATAAACAACAATTGTTTAAATTTTTTGCGTCATTAACGTCACGTAACATACGCGTTCTGTTTTTCTTGAACTTGAAAAACAACATTATATATAAGAAATAATATTAACTAGCGATAGTAATTTATACATATTAATAAAATTGAAGTGTATGTTTGTAATATCCAAATATCTGCCTTATATTGAGCTATACCATTAAGATATAAATAACTGTTTTTGAAATTTTTGTCTGTCATTCTGTCTATCCGTCCGAGCTTATCTTTGGGATGGCTGAACCGATTTTTTTTACGGGATAAGGGTGACAAACGAGCACACAGTCCACCTGATGATGGCTACTGATGCCCATAGACATCTGCATCTATCCTCGATTACGAATCAAAATCCGGATGCGTTGTCACTCGTGAGGACTAAAATGGATTACCTAGTTTCCAGTAAAAAGGGTCTCCGGTTCTCCACACTCAGCATACGAAACACAGCAGCGTTAAGCTGCTATTTTACGCTGGTGTTCTGTGAGAGCGTGGTCCTTCCCCGGTTGAGCCGACCCATTCGTGCTACAACGAGCTGCGGGTTAGGTTACAATGAATTTAAAAAGCTGATGAGAATGTAAAAGCAATAAGCACGAAAAAAATCAAATTTCCCGCGCACTCCACTGTTCGACACATGTCGACCGATGACCTCGTATTGCCTTAGCGATACTGCTGCTGTCAAAAAAGGATAATAGTTGTTTCCCTCGCTCGCGGGGGGGTTTGCGAGCCTTTCGAGAAGACGATCGCTCTCTTTCTAACCTATGGCAAAATATTCTATAATGAAATATAACTACGATTGTATATAGCAATTAGTATAGAGATTTAAAGCCAGGCTTTTAGGAATAAATTTGTTAAAAGCGGAGGTGCGCGGGCAATACGTTTGCAAGTTCATTTCACGTTTCAATGTTTATTTACTCTGTGTGCTTATCTTAAGCGATTTAATATTACGAGTTCAAAATTTATGCTTTTTTAAAGATTTTTAATGAAAATGGAGGATAATAGTGCTCCTTGTGATGAATTGAAGTGTGTTAAAGTGATAATCGGAGAGGAAATCTTTAAACTTTGTTGAGATAATACACAAGGTTAAGAGTGTATTTCGCAATTAAAAACAGTTATTGGTACAATTAAAACGTTCACCAACATTTTACGTGGACGTAATTAAATCTTTCCATAAGAAAGCGAGACGATTCCACTTATCTTATCTTATCTCTTATCCATTAGAATGTAAATAATTTTTTTTTAATTTTGTACATAGTTTGTTTGTACTTTGTTCGTGTTTTACTTTTGTTCATGTATTGTATTGGATGTAAATATTTTTTTTCTTTCGCTTAAACAAACCCAAACGGCTTTTTTCAAAGCCACCGAAGCTATGCAATTGCTGATATGTAATACAATCTATCTAGCAGTGGTATGCCTTCTGTGTGCTTTGTTAAACACGTCCTTGACAGCACTGAATATGAAACTGAAGCGTGGAGACAGATCGAGATTGGTGATTATAAAACAGCTAAAAACAACAATCTATATTTTTATCAATTTATATCTTGGACTTGCCCTAGCTTGGAGCTCTAGCTTCGCCACTGCCATCACGGATAATCAGTAGAATTTAAGTTCAGCTTGTTGCATGTTTTTTTTCTATCATTCGGTCGTAGAGCTTGCGGGAAGTTAAAATTAGAGAGAAAGGGTGGTATATTTCCCATGGACCATGATAAAACAAGCACTTTAGACTTTCTACTATAATGTAATAAATTTACCGTTTTACTTTTCTAATCTTAAATTAAATTCATAACATGGATGAAAATATTAACTAAGTATAACCTTAAATCGATACGTCTATATCGTTTAGGACTCTTCTAAAACGCCTTTCTCGAATGATCTAATTCTAATAAGATCTGTTAAGGTTTAATGGGTATAGTAAGTATAACGACAAGTGAAAGAGCTGAGTTCCATTGCCTTCAAGTGTATATTCATATAACCTAACCATTTTTGCTTAAAGTTGGCAGCTGTTTCGTCACTTAAATGTTATAAAAACAGTTCATATAAGTATAGCAATGTAAGTATTTAATACATTACTAAAATCCGTACGTGTAAAACCGTAGGTGAGGAGGAAGATGGTCGGCGTAGAAAGACCGAGCCACAATGGGACTTCTAGATTCACTAGGTGAACCCACAGCACTCCATAAGACAGCACTAGGCTTGGCACACAAATCTGTAAAATTCAAAACCATTAGAAGACTTACCTATATAAAAATACCTTTTTAAATACTAGCAATAATTTCTCTTCTTCTTTGTCAGTATTTCTTATTCGAATCTAATTCGAATTATAGAAGTATACAACTTGAATATAGGTGTTTTAAAATTGCGCAAATTTGGCCAGACGGGTTGGCGAGCCCAAGGCCATTACCCTTTTTAGTAAGCTATTACATGTCTCCAGAAACTGATGATTTTGGGTAAAAACGTCAAACCAGTTCATTTTATTTTTAAAGCAATAATGCGGTAGAGCCATCCTGCAGCTACATTGTGTTTGTAACAGGAATGACCGAGTAGGACCACGCTTTCACAGAATAGCAGCATTAAGCTGCTATTTCACGCCCGTGTAGTAGCGGGGAGGTATACCCACTACCCCATATCTTCCCGTGGGTGGCGTAAGAGGTGACACAGAGAAAATGAGGCAGAAGATGGGCAGCAGCATCTTCCTGATAACAGCAAAAAGCAATAAAAAAAACTAAAACTATAATAAGCAATATAATCCCCATGAGCAATGACACAAATAAACGACCCCCTGTCGGTTACGACTATGTTAACGGCGGGGCAGGGGGTGCTAAGAAGCTCCGGCGAGGGTTCGGCTACCACCTAAGACGTCTCAACTAGGCAACATATAACACATGGACCCCGAGGACTGACAAGAAGATCCTGAAGCTCGAAGAAGAGATATACAAGTTACGCTGGGATATTATAGGAATATCTGAAGTCCTAGGTCATACAGGTTTATGCACCAACCTCGGTATGTTCCGATGAGGAGGTGGCGGAAATGTATGAGGATATCTCTAGAGGCATGCATTCCACCAAAACACACTATACGGTGTTAATGGAAGACATCAACGCAAAACTAGGCACAAGAGACAACGGTGAGCTGAAAGTAAGGAAATTCGGAATAGGCCAACGAAAGCCAAGGGGCCAGCAGCTAGCCGACTTTATGGAAAAGGAGGGACTATTTATGATGAAATCTTTCTTCCAAAAGCGGCCCCACAGAAAGTGACCTTGTCGAGCCCCGATGGTTCGAAAAAAATTAGATTAACTTCATTATGACGAATAGACGGTAACTGTTTAGTGATGCTTCAGAGATCGCGATGGTGAAAATTGAAAACGATCAACTAATGGTGAAAGGCACACTGATCTAACCGTTAAGTTGAAAAGGCCACGTCTAATGAAGTCAGCGCACCATCCCCCTCGCCCTCTAATCTAAAGTTCCAAAAACTTTCAGCTCGAGTCGCAAAATCGTTTTAGTCCTTAAACACTGCAATGCAGCGGATGATTTGAATGACAAGCTCGTGGTAACTGTCTATACGGTCAGAGCTAAGTTCTGCAGAACCCATCGCAAAAGAACAAAAATAAACTCACCGATCACACTCTTAACTTCATGGCTGTTGGACGGCAAACGAAACTGTAGTCTTTAGCAAACAGGTAAACAGGCAGATCTTCAAATATATGCCATTTTACGCAACTTCGATGCAGCTCGTATCGAAGAAGCGATCGAACGGAAAAGAGGCTCCAAAATCTTTGCCAGAGATCTGTCTGCAAGAAAGAGCTAACTATCGAAGCTTAAAACCGAATGTGAGAGCATCGTTTCTGGGACACCTAAGATTTTAAGTGAGATTGAGTAGCACTGAACTGTACAAGTCATCGTTGGAGCTTTACACAAGAGTGAGTAACGATCCAACGACGAAAGAGTAAGTCTTATCCGACTCCATTCCGATGATATCACGGACGTCAATTAGAACGAATCGAGATTAGATTTACTCTCCAGCGCCTTAAAAACGGCAAGGCCCCGGACGAGGATGGAATTATAGCGAAACTTCTGAAAGCGGATGGAAAACCAGTACTTGAAGTCCTATAGAAGCTCTTTAATTCCGTCCACCTTAGCAGAAATGCGGTGGTCTTGTTCTTCAAGAAAGGCGACAAAGCTCTCTTGAAGAACTACAGACCAATTTCCCTTCTAAGCCGCGTCTACGTGCTATTTTCGCGCGTCATTACGAATCATCTCACACACAGACTCGATGACTTCCTGAATAAGCCGGTTTCCGAAAAGGCTTTAGCACCATAGACTACATTACCCTTCGGCAAATTGAACAAAAAACCGAAGAGTGAAATCTGCGTATGTGGATTATAAGAAAGCCTTTTATTATGAGAACCTATGCAACTGCAGAGAGGGGTAAGGCAGAGTAACGTTATATCCCCGAAACTCTTCAGTCCTACATTGGAAGATATCTTCAAGCTATTGAACAAGAAAGGATACGATATTAACATCAATGGCGAGTACATCACTAAACTTCGGTTTTCCGACTATATGCAAGCCTAAGCACTATGCTCAATGACTTCAATAATGCCTACCAAGGGATAGGTTTTAACATAAACACAGACAAAACAAAGATCATGGGTAATATCCATATTAGACTTATGCCGGTAGTTGTTGTAATCATTATACTCGAAGTTGTTGACGAGTATGTTTACCTGGGACAAATAGTCCGACTAGGTAAGTCCAACTTCACGTAGCGTTCGGGAGATTATCCCAGACCCATCTTTTCATTAGGTGTACCTCAAAACATTAAAACAAGATTGTACAACCAGTGCGTTTTGCAAGTGCTGCTGGTCGTATAATGAAGCTCAAAGTCGCTCATCGAGCTGTGGAGAGGTCTATGCTCGGGGTTTTTCTGCGTGATAAACTTAGAAATGAGGATATCCGCAGTAGAACCAGAGTAATCGACAGAGCCCAACGGATACGTTAGGTGAGTTGCAAAGGGACCGCGCTTTGCGGTGTTCCTTGGGGGAGGCCTAAGTTCAACAATGGACCTGTGAAGACATCGCTTATACTGCGGCCCACTACTTTTATAAAAATATCTCAACAGAGTAATGATTAATTAAGGTTGGTCGCTGCAGATTGAAGATGGACTGGGAACTGTGACCATTTTGTACGGACTTGCCATGTAAATTCATCATAATAATTTCATCATATGAACAATGAATATAGTGAATAATTTCATGTAAATCGTATTACATATTTTAAAAATCAAAAAAGTGTTACTACTAGGGAAGGGACGTCCTAGGCGGAAGTTTGTCGACCAAATTGGTGATATACTAAAAATGGGCCAAATTAAAAGTACCCTTAACCGACGAGCATGTATGCGTAGGTATATGGATGTGGAAGAGGCGAGAAAGGTATGTCAGGATCGTGCTAAATGGAAGTCTGTAGTCTCTGCCTACCCCTCTGGGTGACAGGCGTGAGTGTTTATGTATGTATGTATGTATGTTACTACTACTACTATGCGCGAACTCACTAGTACTCACACCATCACTTAACTCATAACATCAAGAAGGCCCCTTCTAAGTATACGTATTGTGACGGGCAACTACGAAACCCTAGCTCTAATATTGTGCGTGGCCCGACACGCACTTGGCTAGTTAGTTACAGTTAAAACCTGGGGTCACATGAGCAGCAATGACAACCATTAGACCTAGGAGCCAGTAAAAATAAAAGGTAAAAAATATAAAATAATCAATCATTAGAACGTATTTGTCACTTTCATTCATATCTGATATCATCATCGATTTATTATAAACTAGGATATCAAACTCTATGATAACTAACACTTTATATAATACGCAAACATTTCTAACAGTCATATTATGTGCATATTGACATGTTTGTAAAGATAGTGAATGACATCACGGTCGCTAAGATAAAGTGACATGTATGATGATCACTGCTTCACTTCACTGCATATTAGGTACACTTTAAGACGAGTATACACAGCACACATGCCGACACATCTGCAGCGATCAACCCTTAACTAATCTTTACTAAGTTCAAGGCAGCATAAGCGATGAAGTCGCGTAACGATTACAAATTAAAAACTTTCCATAATACACTATAGTCACCACTATACCGATTCTCAATATCTATTATAAAACATTATTGTAATGCCGTTATTCCTCGTGAATAGGGTTTATCTTACTGATACGTACGTTTAGGAATAACACGGAAAGTAAAAGACTCCAGCGCCATGTCGCGCTATTGGATCGTACATCAATTTCCATTTATTCTTCCTTCTTCAAACATTTTCACAAAATATTTAACGCTCTAAAATTTGGCATTAAGACTGGACACTTATTCACTTTTATTTCAATCGAACATAGTGTAAAATACTCGTACACCGCTAGTTTTTTAGAAATAGAAAACTTAAGAGAGCATATTATCGTCTTACTGACGGCACTATATCCACGGATTGACAGTGTTATCAGATGGCCTCAACACGTCGCTACTCTTTGTCTTATCTTATCGTGCGTATGTAAGGAATTAATGTTAATTAAATTATTATTTTGCATTATTTAAATTTGATTTAAAAGAATTATTGGAAGATTATTTATTTACTATCAACATTTAATAACGTGCTCTAGACTGAATTTAGGTGATTGTGGTCGGTCTCAATGATCCTAGAATCCTTCATCTGCACAGGTCAGAATTATTGAGCGCGAACGTTTGCGGAAGCACAAGTGCACTCTCTATTCCTTCACTCTCATAGTCCGACACGACTAGAGAGATATTAAGCCAGGAAACTTAGTGCACAAGTGTTTTTTTGTAGACTAAGGGTGACAAACGTGCACACAGTCCACTGATGGTAAGTGAATGCTGTGGCACCATAGTCATCTACATTTAACCTCGATTAAGAATCAAAACGCAGATGAATGCATCGGTGGTCAAGGTCAAGGGGTGACAATGGTCTTGAGGACTAAGATGGATTGCCTCGTTTCCAGTAAAAAAAGGGTTTCTGGACCTCTACACTCACCGTACGAAACACAGCAGTATTAAGCTGCTATTTTACGCTGGTATTCTGTGAGAGCGTGGTCCTTCCCCGGTCGAGCCGACCCATTCGTGGTACAACCATAATATAGCTGCAACATGGCTGTACCACGTAAAGTAGGCAGTGAGTGTGAGCATAAGCACAGGTGTTCTCGTCTCTATTCCCTCATTTGCAAAACTTGATGGGTCAGCAATCCGACAGGACCGCAGAAATACTTATTAGGCGAAGGATCAATATACTTTCACAGACACGTCGGTGAACCACCACCAACTTCTAGACTTCGTGCAGCTACTCAGAATTTATTGACAGAAAAAGTTATGCGTGTCAGCTCCAACGCGTGATAGGAGTTTACTAATGAAAAACGATTCTCTTATTTTCTTATTTTAATTTCCATTTAGCGCAATGAGATACACAAGTATGTTGCGCAGATGCAAACGATAACGGTTTCACATTTTGTTAACACTTGATTATATACGATAGGAAACGATTCTTAACGAGTAAACTCCAATAAACTCAAAAAGCGGAATAACTGATTTTAGTCCGACCCAAGATTCGAACCCGCGACCAGCACCAAATGACCAGCAGTTACGCTTACGACCATTAGACCAGCGGAGCAGTCATAATTAGCATTTACAACTATCATAACAATTACATTAGTCTAAAGACAATAGAAATATATACATTATCCAGTAACATAACATGATGATGATGAACCGCAATATATTACACGTACGTAAGTATTCGATACCGTATGCAACTTTGGTCGTTTGATGTGAAGAATCAACACCCCGAGAATGCCACCGTCTGTAAACATGTTCAGGGTCGCTCCCGCGATTACGTCATATTTGATTGATTGAGACCACAAATCTTCGGAAAGAAACACCGAATCCTACCATGGTGATTCTCAAGGCTATTGAAATCAAAGACATAGTAATTTCTATAGGGATGCATTCATCTGCGTTTTGATTCTTAATCGAGGTTAAATGTAGATGACTATGGGGCCACAGCATTCACTTACCATTAGGTGGACTGTGTGCACGTTTGTCACCCTTAGTCTACAAAAAAACACTTGTGCACTAAGTTTCCTGGCTTAATATCTCCCTAGTCGTGTCGGACTATGAGAGTGAAGGAATAGAGAGTGCACTTGTGCTTCCGCAAACATTCGCGCTCAATATCCTAATATCAATAATAATCCTGACCTGTGCGGATGGAGGATTCTAGGATCATTGAGACCGACCACAATCACCTAAATTCAGTCTAGAGCACGTTATTAAATGTTGATAGTAAATAAATAAACTTCCAATAATTCTTTTAAATTGCAATTAAATAATGCAAAAATAGCAGGAGGCTATGATGATAGACTGGTGTCCAGTCATGGCTATTCTACTTATAGTGGCTTCCATATTGGTAAGCGTAGGAGTAGGGATGTTGGAGCAATGTAGCGACTTTTTGTAGTAAATGGCAGTACCGCCGCCTTTGCGGTCGGGTCTGTCATCTCGAAGAAGCGAATAACTTTTGACAGAGAGGCCTTTGAGGACCTTAAAACTGAGGTAGGTCTCCTGGAGGAGGAGGAGGGCGGCTTCGCGATCTCGAAGAAAGAGCCTAAGCTCAGCGAGGCTATTTCGGAAACCGCGGATATTATAAGAAACAAGAGACAAACCCTTTGGCTTAATACGACCGTGTGATATTGCGGGAGCAGAAGGTTCTGAGATTATGATTTTATTACAACGATCTTAAGTGGAAATAATAAAAATACTACCTCAAATGGCTTAGCAAGATCCTCCGTTATGCCGAAACTGTTGCAGCATTAATTTTGAAATAAATATATGGTAAAGTTGAGGATTAATGTTAGGTACTATGCTAGAAGAAAACACGATTCCGTAAAATTTTCTCGATAGAAAAAAAAAATCCAAAGTAACCTCCAAACTGAAATATAAACAGCTGGTACTCATAATACTTTAAATTAGATCATCAAACTTTGCATACTAACTGAACTTACTATGAAGCAGGGCTTATGTTTTTTATTTTTTTAATTACCGTTATTTTTACTGTAAAAAGAAATTACCTAAACTATCGGCGTCAGGAAACTACCTGCTGCCCAATCAGTCTCCATCAGTCTTATAGATTACTGTATATATACTAGAGATAGATGTGCGACTCAAATTTAATTTTAGTTAAAGTTCTTGTTTTGCCTAATAGATGGCGTTAAAATACTGGTGCTTTGGACTTTAATATTTTTTGGACTTTAATATTTTTATTTTATATACAACCACTAATTACATTGCACAAGTGCTGCAATGTAATTAATAGTTGTTTATGTTTCTTGTGGTAATTGTAAGTTCCTATACCAAAAAATAAAAAACATGTTATTTTTAAAACGTTTATTGTTTAAAAATTCTTTGCTTAGTTATTGAATAACATTAGATGTGTTAAATTTAACAGTATTTGCACAATATCAATTGATTTCTTTATACAATATCCCTACTAGTTAGTAAATATCTTATATTACAGAGTATAGAACATTTTTTTAATTAAATATAGATTATTACATAATACTTATTGGAAATCGTGTTTTATTTACCACTGATACCACTGTCCTGGGAAGAACCAACAAGAAACCCAGCGTGACTTTTTTTTAAACATATTTCACTTTACAATGGGTGCGTTTGGCAGAAAAAAGCGCTAGCAAGCGCTTGTAAGCAAAATGGCGATCGTAAGCGGTAAGCGCTGTCAAATCGTAAGTAGCTATTTTCCTCTAGGACACGATGTTAGTTTTAACCGGGGAACCTAACCTAATTTAAATATATGTTTGTAAAGTATTCATATTAAAAACTTACCAATCATGAATTTTTAATAACATGTATATGTTTATTCATGTCATTATATTACTTAAAACTAATATTGCACAAAACAACTTTTAAACTCTACTTCAAAACAAACAAATTAAATAAGCAAAATGGCGGATTATGTTAGCGCTACTGAAGTAGCAATCGTGTCCTGGCCGAAAACTATTTTAGCGCTTGTAAGCGCTTGCTAGCGCTTTTTTCTGCCAAACGCACCCAATATCATTTTTTAAACAAATTTTAATAGTACATATAAGCATGATTGCGATCGCCTCATACCCAGGAGTTATTTTATAGTTATTCTTTGATATTATAATAACACTTTTTGTACATTTTTTCTTTAATAAAACATTTCAAGTTGTTAATTGTCAAATTTTGTACATTTTCTTCAATTGTGTTGTAAAAGCGTATAATACATTGCCCTATAAAGCACTACTGACTCAGTGGATTCTAGTAACTAGTATTACAAACTTATGTTTGTTCCTAGTGTTTAAAGTTTGAACATCTTTATTCTTATAAAAGCTATTTATAACACTTTTTGTACATTTTTCCTTTAATAAAACATTTTAACTTGTTAATTGACAAATTTTGTACATTTTCTGCAATTTTGTTGTAAAAGCGTATAATACATTGCCCCCATAAAAGCACCATTGACTCAGTGGATTCTAGTAACTGGTATTACAAGCCTATTTTTGTTCCTAGTGTTTAAAGTTTGAACATCTTTATTCTTATGAAAGCTATTTATAACACTTTTTGTACATTTTTCCTTTAAAAAAACATTTCAAGTTGTTAATTGACAAATTTTGTACATTTTCTGCAATTTTGTTGTAAAAGCGTGTAATACATTGCCCTATAAAGCACTACTGACTCAGTGGATTCTAGTAACTAGTATTACAAGCTTATGTTTGTTCCTAGTGTTTAAAGTTTGAACATATTAATTCTTATAAAAGCTATTTATAACACGTTTTGTACATTTTTCCTTTAATACGAGTAAAACATTTCAAGTTGTTAATTAACAAATTAATTTAATAAAAAAGATACATTTTGGAGCAGCATTATTAATCTTTAAAACGTGAACTTGATAATGTTATCATACTTTAGTAACATAACAAATCTTTTTAAATGTGTGTAATAACCAGTTGTGGTGGTAACCAGGTGTTGTGGTCCTTCATGGGCGGCGGTAGTCACTTACTATCAGGTGAGCCACATATTTGTTTCCTCCTCCCCCCCAACTCCTTAAAAAAATAAATAAATAGGTACCTCTTATGCGATTCACACGTGAACTTGTACCAGAAATTTGTGTAGAAAGTACGTCTGGTATATGTGACGTGGGTTCAAGTTCCGTTTCTGCATGTAAACCTGTAAAAATAGTGAAAGTATATGAGTAACACAT